TCTGCCAACAACATTCTTACTAACTTCTCACATAAGCCTTCTAACGCCAAAACCGATTTTGATCTTGTTTATGAACAAGCGGCCACTTTTCTAAAAAAACACTCTGACCTAATGGTATTAACTAGTGACAAAGGTAATGCCACAGTCCTTATGATGAGAGAGCAATACATTAACCTTAGCCAACAACTCCTAGATGATAGTAAATACTATCAACCACTTCTTCGCAATCCCACTTCTACTTACACCAACAAAATCAACCGATATATCACTGAACTAAAAAACAAAAAAATTATTGACGATAAACTAGCCAAATCCCTCCATAATTACAATGGCTATGCTCCTAGATTTTACTGTCTCCCCAAAATTCACAAACCACAACTAAGTATGCGACCCATATTATCTTCAATAAATGCTCCAAACACGAATATAGCTCAATTTCTAACGAACATTCTTTCACAAGCATACAATTATAATAATGACTTCAACATAACAGATTCTTTCCAGTTCAGTGAATTTATTAATAATTATCAACTACCCAGAGGCTTTGTCTTAGTAAGTTTTGATGTAGTATCCTTGTTCACAAATCTTCCACTTTCCAGCGTATTAACTTCTCTCCGTAACCATTGGAATCAAATCCAACCCCACAGTCCGATACCTTGGGAAACTTTTTCCGAATTATTAAAATTGATTTTTGACACCAACTATTTAATTTTTAATGACAAATTTTATCGCCAAATTTTCGGAACTCCTATGGGATCCACGATTTCTCCTATTCTAGTCAACTTTGTTCTAGACGATCTTATTAATGATAGTATCAAGAAGTTAGATTTCCAGGTTCCCTTTGTAAAACGGTATGTCGACGATCTGATTTTAGCAACTCCGTCGAACAAGACGGACGACACTTTATCAGTTTTTAACTGCTTTGATCCTCACCTACAATTTACATGTGAATTGGAGATTGAGAACAGTATCCCGTTTTTAGATATGCGAATTATTCGCACTCCAGATAACAGATTAGTCACTACCTGGTACAGAAAAGAAATGGCTAGCAACCGTTTCTTAAATTACCATTCGACACATCCAATCAGATATAAACTTAACCTGGTACAAGCCCTCAGCCTTAGAGTACACATGTTGACACATCCGCTTTACAAAGAAGAATCTCTCAATCTACTGAAGTCTATTCTAATAGATAACTCCTATCCGGCATCCATTATCAATAAATTTCTATATTCCAAAAGCTATGGGCAGTCCATCACTGAAACACCCAACGGGCTAACATTAGCGTCCATCTCTAACAGAATACAAATGAATGAGTCCCCTCTCACTCCTGAACAAACCATAAAATATGCTTCGCTCCCGTACTTCCCACAAATCACGAACAAGCTAATCAAACTTTTCCAAAACTTACCTGTCAAAATAGCTTTAAAAAACACCAGAACCGTAGGAAAGTTATTTTCTAAGACAAAAACTCCATTGGCCCCTCTAGAACAAACTAACGTCGTCTATCATGTACCCTGTGCGGAGTGCAACTCCTGCTACATTGGCCAGACCAGCCGTTCTCTTCAAGGTCGACTAACGTCCCATAAAAGCGACATTAGGATTTCAAAACCATCCTGTGCCCTTGCACAACATGCCATTTCAACCAAACACAGTATCGACTTCACTAATACTAAAATACTGTGCAAACAAAAAAATTATCATAAGCGTTCTATCCTTGAAATGTGTCAAATTCTTAAACATCCATCATCCCTAAATAAAAGAACCGACATCGACAACTTGAGCCAGATATATCACTCTCTCATCATACACAACAAATAATAATTAAATAAAAAACACTTACAAGATAGTAACTTCATTCCCCTTCTTCTTTCCCTATTTTCAAAATATTTTTTTTTGTAGAATAAAATATTCCTTTTTGAAAAATAGGGCTGTCCCCGTTCTGCTTACCAACTTTTTTAATAATTGTACTTCACTGCTTTCCGAAGAAACGTATGGACGACACATGCCACATGTGCAAATGTGACAGCCTAAAACCGATAGAAAACATTCCAAGAGATTATTGTGTTGGGTCTTCGAAAGAGCTTACACCCACATTGAGATGAAGCCATCGGTAAAAATTAAATAAACAATAGTGCTGTTTCAGTTTTTTCCTGTGTGTTTTTTGTTTCGATTCTATCGTTTAGTTTTTAAATTTTTTAATGTTAAGTTATCGTATAGTGTGTTTAACATCTTTTACAAAACCTACAAATTGTTTTTGTAAGTATGAACCCTTTTGGTTATTTACTTATTTTTTACATCGTTTTATTTTTATTTGTAGTGAACTGATGATGCTTTTGAAAACTAAAAAGCGAAACGTATTCGATTAAATCAATGAAGTAGTTGACGACTTTCATTTGCCTATTATTGACCGATACAACCTCTGCTATTCAACTATTGAATATTTTTTAAATATATATATATATATATATCAAGTTCCACGAGATACAGTAGAAATGAATCAAGAAAGAGGGGAAAATGTCAATATGGCAGCTTTGATGTCATTAATGATGCAGATGAACAAAACAATTCAAGAAGAGAAGAAGAGAATTCAAAAGAAGTCAATGAAGACATGAAAAAAATGGAACAGAAATTAAAAGAGAATTCGAAAAAAGTCAAAGAAGACATAAGAAAAATGGAACAGAAATTGGAAGAGAATTCGAAAAAAATGGAAGAGAATTATAAAAATTTAGAAAAGAAAATAGAACATAGTAATAACAAAATTGTAAAACAAATAGAAAAACAAATAGATAAAAAGTTGAAGCTGCAGAGAAAAAAGTAGCAAATGAAATAAAAAATATACAGCATGACTACAAGAAAAGGATAGAAAATGAGAGAACAGAAGTAAATAGGATTATTCAAGATAATAAGATAAATATAGAACAGAAAATAGAGTTGCAGAAATGTAACTTAGAAATTAAAATTAACGAAGACAGGAGAAAGACAGAAGAAAAATTAGACGATATGCAACAAAATATCCAAATAAATAGTAATCAAATAAGAAATGTGGAACAGAGAATAGATGATATTTTACAAATGAGAGACATAGGGAGACCTTACTTAAATTTAACTAATGACACTGGGATTAAATTCTCTGGTAATATGAAAATTTGCATCCTATAGTATACATAAATAGTTTAAAACATAAATTAAGATTAGTGAATAATATTAATGATATTACAGATTATATTAGAATGACATTAAGTGACAAACTTGGTTTGCCAGTGTTGAAAATGATTTTAATAATTTTCAAACATTTGAAAATAAATTTTTAAATTATTATTGGGGTGAATTAGAGCTAGACTTAGGAAAGTTCTATATTTTGGAAAGTATAATCACAATTTAATTTCTCCATAATTTGCTTTACCTTATGTATGGTATCTATTGTTGACTTTCCCCTAATAAATCCGCATTGATACTGTCCCATGATATTTGTAGTCGCTTCGGCCAGTCTTCGTTGTATTAAGGTTGACATGATTTTATACGCTGTGTTTAATAATGTCAGTCCTCTATAATTATTATACATTTGTTGGTCTTCTTTATTATGGACTGTGATAATTTCCCCGACTTCTAGGGGAACTCTTGTAAATAGGGAAACAACATCAAAACTAACAAGAATGTCAGATTCCTATAAAGTTATTCCTTTGATCTTCTTAATAAAAAAACAGAAACTCAAATCATTATCCAAGCCAAAAACAAGGTATCATCAAAACTCTGGCGGAGAGGGCGAAGAGAATTTGTGAAGCACAGCATCTAGAAAGTGAACTTGTTCATATTGAAAAAGCGCTTACCTCTAATGATTATACCAGAAGAGAAACATAAAGCGATGAACAACATCTCTAGAAGAAATACCAAAGAAACAGAATGAAAGGCAAAGAGTTCTTAGCCTACTTAAGAAAGCCAACGTAAAGACCATTTTCAAGCCTACAAAGAAAATCAAGGACTATTTAAGATTGTTAAAAACACATCGGTGAAAGGATAAATGAACATAAAAGCCATTGTCGTTTAGGACATATCGACAAATCTGCCGTTGCGGATACTACCCACGGTTGTATCGGGAAGCGGTGGAAATATATAAGCACCCAAATAATTTTAATCGGATAAAAGATGGACTGAAAATTAACAATACATGGATACCAATATTAAAATCCACAAACACGCTTCCCGCCAAACATGAAGAAAGAAAAGCTACGACAAACGACGACACACCCCTCAAGCCGAAACCAGTGTAGGGGAGGCGAGTGGGAGATATAAATATTGCCTCCGTAGTACAACGCGGCGTCAGTTTCAGGTTACAAGCGAAGCAGTAACATCTCCAGAAGATGCCAACCTCTAGTGTTATGCCAACTAATCTCAGAAGGCAACGGCCTAACAGCCCGAACAAACAGTTTAACCAGTTAGACGATGGCCGTGAAAGCCTAACCCAGTCTATTCCAATAACTGTTTCATCAAGTTTTTAAACTTCAGTGTTTTTATAAAATCTCACGAATCTTTCCACGGCGTTCCCTTTATTGTTACAATATCTCAAAATGACTGTAAGTTGGTCATGGTGTTATACGAGATGTTGAATCTACACTTTAGAATAGTAGTTTCCATTCTGTTTTTCGCCAGTTGTTTCATGAGTACCTCTAAATGCCAATTCCCTGGTAGCCTGGTAACATAAACTGAACACCGTGCATAAACCATATACGTCGACCGTAATAATAATAATTTATTCATAAATTGTTAAGTTTAAAACTTATTGATAAAACACAAAAAATTTTGTTATTGTAATTATATCATTTGGATTTGTATTCAAATTTTCTTTTTCCATAATCATAATATGATTTCTTAAAAGCAGGCGTTTCCGGAACCTTCAACCGCCCGGTGCAACAGCCCCGGAAAGACCCCTGGTTAAACCGGCGCTGGCCGATATGCCTTTTCGTTTAAACATTATATTATGTGAATTAAAAGATGCAATATATTTAATAAACATTTAATATAATTTTTTTAGTTTGTTAAGAATATAATTGAAATAAATAAAAGTTTTTAATTATTAATAATATCAGCAATAGCTTCGTTGAGTTTTTCAATAACAGCTCTTAGGTTGTCTCTAATGAATTTGGCCATAACGTTAACAATAACTTGTCCCATGAAAGTGGTTACTACCGCACTAAGTGCGTTGGCTAACCAGTCCACTACTGGATTTCCAGAAAAATGAACACTAACATCTCTAAAACAAAAACAGAATTTTAAAAATATGGTTAGAAAAATATATATATATATATATATATATATATATATATATATATATATATATATATATATATATATATATATTATATTCTTTCTATTTATTAAATTCTTAATTTCGACTTAAACGTTAACTATTATTTTTTCGATATAGAGCTTTAAAAGTATAGGGTTTTTACACAATTTTTACATTATTGCTTTTCTTACAATCTTTATTTCGTTTATGCTAATATTTAATATTGATTATTTGCTCAATCCAAGATTTCTTTTCTTTCTTTTCTTGCGTTCTAAAACTAAATGTATTTTGAAATACTTTCCTTTAGAATCCAGTTCAAGTATTTTCTCTTGCTTAATTATTTATATTGTTGATATTTATATAGGTGCATTATTTCGTTATATAGTTTGGTTAAAATTAAAACGATACCTACCAAAGGAAGCGAAAAATTTATTGAAAAACGAGGGGAAATGGTAAAATTTTATTCCTGTTATGGACGTACTGACAAAAAGTAAGAAAGGCGACTTCTTGGTCAATGTTCTTTGCGGATGATGTTGTGTTAGTAGAGGAGACCATCGAAATGTTGGGGTGTTGGAGAAGGGCTATTGGAGATTGAGGACTTAATGTTATCAAGTTTATATGATATGTGTCTGGGATATGAGGTGTAGGTCTCCCAACCACATATACAACTGAGTATATGTGGTTGGGAGAACGAGGAATAGTTGGGGACACAGAATTGCTTGGAGATAATCGAGGACGAGTAGGAGAATTTAAACACCTTAGCTTCGACGTAACAGAAAATGACACCAGATTGTTTAACTGAAAGCGAATAAGCGAGGTGATCGACAAATCGAAGAAGGGCTGAAAGAAAAGAAATACAAGAGTGTAGTGAGACCTGAGTTGGTATACGGCGGTGAGGTGTTGTCTGTAAAGAAGTTTCAGAAAAAGAAAATGGAGGTAGCTGAAATGAAAATGTTACGGTGAATGTTGGGTAAGACTGGAAGGGATAGGATCAGAAATAATTTGACTGTAAGACTGAATAAAATAAAAAATAATAGATAAGCAACGAAAATAGATAGCTACGAACAAACACAACGACTGGGTTTAGAAAAGGCTATAGTACAATATATCATATCATAACCATCTGATTAAATAAGTCCAATATACAATTATATATCGCCCTTATTGACTTAAGCTGTTGGCAGTATATAATGTTGGGCAACAAATAAATCAATTCAAATCAGGAAGGGTATATCCAAAGATACACAGATTTGTTAATAAATATCTTTGAGAAAATACCAAGAATCAGAATTAAAAAAACGCAAATAAGAAATTAGATAAGGAGACGCAATATATTAAAGTTATCCACTTGATAGACGACATTAAAAAAAGTAAACTGAAATAACAAATGTATAAATATAAATAAACAACCTTTGAACCCCTTCCAATAAGCAGATGCTGCCAAAGATCTTGAAGAGATAATAATAAACGTAGATGTGGAAGCAAGAAAAATAGGACTGAAAATGAACTATAACAAAATAAACGTAATGACTTGAAATTAAAAAAAAATTAAAATAAGACTAGAAAGAAAAGAGAAAGTTGAAGAATACCTATTATTAAATTGAACAAAGAAAATCAAACCGCTGAAATAAAACAGAATAAAATTATCATGGTGCATTCGGAGAGCTGAGGCTACATATTCAAAAAAGGAAAATTCCCAAATTCAAGACTAAAATATTTGAACAATGTGTTCTGCTGAATAAAACTAAAATGGTGCATTTGGAAAGCTAAGCTTCTTCTTCTTGTGGTGCCTATCCGTTACGGATGTTGGCAACTAGCATGGCATTTCTAACTTTATTGACCGCAGCTTGAAATAGTTCTGAAGAGGTCAAGGAAAATCATTTTCGCAAATTCGCGAGCCATGATATTCTTCTTCTTCCTGGTCCAATCTTTCCGTAGACGTTTCTGTAGACCTAAAGCTTAGCTACATATTAAAAACAAAAAATACCTACAATATCTCCTGATTAAAATATTTGACCAATGTATTTGACAATGTAACAGGAAGGGAAAGCCTATGTCCAATACTGGACGTATAAAAAACTTTATATACATATAAATATTTTTCTTGGATCATATATAATAAATTTGTTGCTTAATTATCTTTAGAGGTACAGCCTAAGTTAAACCAAGGCATTTCCTAGACTCCTAGTTTGTTTCGCTAGTAGTTCGATGCTGTCGACTATTGCCATTTGAAGTGCCAATCTTCGATTCACGTCTACATCTTTCTTCCACATCTGTCTTGAGTTGCCCCTATTGCTATTGCACTCTGTTATCGTATGCTTGATTTTTTAACTTAAGTTTCTGGTCAGTATGTATTGGCTTCAGTTGAAGTAACTGTTAGTAGTATTATTCATTTTTCTCCGTTGCGGAGTCATCACTGGCCATAAGAGAATCATGGTATATAAAGTTGTTTAAACTTTTAAAATTGTAATTACTCACTATAAAATGTTGACCAGTGTTTTTATCTTTATCTCTGGTAGGTAGTCGAAATTGATACCATTATTTTGGTTTTTTCTTCTTTTATAATGAAGTACATATTGTTTAAGTTTACAGACAGTCCAAATTGTCAACGTATTATTTGCATTCATTTATTAAACAAAAAGTCAGTATAGTAAAACTCAGCATTTATTACAGTCGCCTCTAAACTCTCTATTTAAAAGAAGACATGTCAGAGTGTCTTCCTGTCGTAAACCAACACGTGTTTGAATCACTTGCAAAAAATCACTATCAGTTTGAACTTTGCAGGCGATATTATTTATTTATTACTTATTTTATTTGGGATTTTTTTCGTAGCTACATATAGCTTACATTTTAATACACTGTCTTCTTTTTCTTAAGCTTTTTCATTTTTAGAGGTTACTGTTGCTTACTCTTCATCGCCACTCATTTCTGTCCATCGGGTCTTCTTCAACAAAACTTTTTTTTCTTAAGTCCCCTCCCACACAGTCCTTCCACCTTCTTATCTGTTTTCCTCTACCCCTCCTTCCATCAACTTCTTACAGCTTTATCCTTCGTCTCATATAGTTTTCATCTTTACGTCTGACATGAGGAAACCATTGCAGTCTTTGTTCTTATTTATTTGAGACTGTAGTCACCTGGCTTTTTCCCTAATCAAGTCGTTTCTGATTCTTTACCTTCTAGTCTTACCCAACATCCACCGTAACATTTTAATTTCAGCTACCCCTATCTTATTTTCGAGAATCTTCTTTACAGACCATACTTCACCGCCGTACACCAATGCTGATCTCACCTTCCTCTTGCATATCTTTTCTTTCAGTCCTTCCCCGATTTTTTTATCACAAAGTACCCCGCTAATTCACCTCCAGTTAAACCAACCAGTTTGTATTCTGTGGGAAATTTCTCAATCTAGTGTCCCATTTCCCGTTATGTAATATCATTAAAGTATTTAAATTCTCCTAGTCGTCTTAGTTTTTCTCCAAGCAATTTGTTGTCCCAATCCATTTCTCTTCCTTTCTACCACATATACTTCGTATTCGACCTGTTAACCTTAAGTCCCCCATTTTTAATAGTCCTTCTCCAACACTTTAACTTCTCCTCCAACATTTCTTTGCTCTACTCTAGTAACATGATATCATCAGCAAAGAGCATTGATCAAGTAGCCCCTCCCTATACTTTCTCTGTCAATACATCCATAAAGAAATTAAACGGGTAAGGACTCCGTGAAGAGCTTTGATATAAACCAACCATCACCAATACTCTGGTGTACGCTCTCTTATACATATCCTCCACGAGCCTTACGTACTTATCAGGAACCCATTTCTCTTTCATACATCTCCAGAGCTTTTGTCTAGCAACTGTGTCGTACCTCTTCTTAAGATCTATATATATATATATATATAATATATATATATATAATATATATATATATATATATATATATATGTATATATATATATATATATATATATATATATATATATATATATATATATATATATAATATATATATATATATATCAAATATAGCTTTCTTTTTTTAGCTGTATTTCTCTATAAACTGTTTCAAAGAACAAAATGCATCCATTGTTCTCCTTCCTGGGATAAACCCAAATTGCTCTCTCTTATCGATGTATCTTTCTTTAACCTTCGCTTTACAGTTCTCTTTAAAATTTTCGTTGTGTGTGGCATTTTTTTGTCGTTGTATACTTGTAGTTCTTACAGTCCTAAATATTCCCTTTTTCTATATACAATGAAACCATCTCTCTCTATGTATTGGGCATCGTTTGTTCCTCATACTCCCTACTTATTATTTGCCACAAAATAATAACACCTTCCTCTTCTAGAGCCTTCCATACCTCAACAAGTATTCCATCAGGTCCTACTGCCTTATCATTTTTCATCTTATTTAATGCCTGGACAACTTCTTTTTTTTTGCTATCCCTGGTATTACATTCTCATTTGGGCTCCTGCATCCTTTGTCTCTCCTCTGGTGTTCCTCATCTAGTAACATTCTAAAGTATCTTTGCTTTATATTAACATCAGTTCTTAACACCCTTCCATCCGCACTTTTCTCTCAAAGGACTCCGCAAAGTCCTTTGATTACTTGTCCCTTGCTTTAACAATGTTGCATAATCTTTTCATTTCCTTGTTTCCAACTCTTCATATAGCTGTACAGACGATCTTTCCTTAGCAGTAGCGCACTGTGCTTTTCTCTTTGTTACCTTGTGTATATCCTTATCTTCTCTCTTTTAGATCTGCCTCTTTCTAGTCTCTTTTTGCTCTTTAACCTACTATCAAGTTTCGTTATCTCTAGGGGACTCTTTACCAAATGTTTTTCTAGCACTTTCTCTCCCGCTCTCACCACAACTTTATTGTTGGCTTCCCACTAGTCATTTACCGTATCTTTTTTCTTAAGCTCTTCCAGCACTCTACTCTTAAATACTATTGCCAAATCCTCATTCTTT